TTTTTAGGAATAAGCACAATAAAAGTATGGTTAATATTTTTAATAGATGAAGGATTAGCAAAGGCTTCTCTAACTAGCTCAATAATAGATTTACCTACCAATCCCCATTGACTTTGAAAAAATAAAGCATTTAAACCATCAGGGCCAGGGGATTTCAGAGCGCCCATGCTAAAAAGGGCAGCTTTTACCTCTTCTCCATTGATCTCTTTCGCAAGTTCTGCAAGATGCATAGTCTCGAGCTCAGGGTAGGAAACTCTATTCTCATTCAACCTGTCATTATATCCATCATCTTGAAACAAGTTAATAAAGAAATCAGTAGCAACCTTTTTTATTACCTCAATATTGTCTGTCCATTCTCCACTATCTTGCCTGAGAGCTTCAATTTTATTGCGTCGTCGCCGCCCATTAGCTCTTGCATGGAAGTATTTGGAGTTTTTATCACCAAGATTATACCAATCACATTTGGCTTTCTGAGCCCATAGAAGTTCCTCCTGAATGATCACCTCTTCTAGTTCTAGCCAAAGCTTTTTCTGAAGTTGTTCCAAAGAGGAAGATATACCGGTATTGGATATAGACCGTGAGATGCCCTCAAGTCTACCCATAAGTATACTCTTCTTTTTTCCAATATGGCCAAAGACATTTTTGCTCCAATCAATGAGTTCTTTAGTGAAGCTGTCGACATTTTCATTCCAGTTACTGTTGTCCTTCCAATTTTCCTTCACTAACCTGCTAAAGTCATCATGGAGAACCCAAGGTGCATTAAAACGAAAAGGTCGAGAAATAAAGTTCTTAGGGAACATACCATACCGAAGCTGGAGCAAGATAGGGCGATGGTCTGACTTAAACCATGGGAGATTTTTGACAATAGCATCAATAAAAGTGCTCCTTGCTCTTGAGTTCGATATAACTCGGTCAATTCTGCTTTCACACTTGTCCCTTTTCCAAGTGAAAAAAGGTCCCGAGCAACCCATATCTGATAATTGTAACTGGCTAACCCAATTGCAAAAATCTCTATCCATCGGGGTTACTTTGGCTGCATTGGATTTGCGCTCATGATAGAATAGGGTCGCGTTGAAGTCTCCTCCAATAAACCACGGCCACTGATTACCTGGGTCAAGCTGGGTGAGTTTACCCCACAAAGAGCGACGGATGGTGCTATTCGGGCTCGCATAAACTGAAGTAACATAAACTTTGTCGTCATTTTTTTCAGCCACCACGTGAATATATTGATCGTTCACTTCAAGAACTTTGATAGAGAAGTTTTCGTTAGTCCAAGACACCCATAAGCCACCTTTGAATCCCGACGCATCAACAATTTCGCAATGTTCAAACCCAAGCTTTTTACTGATTTGTTTTGCTTTATCGCCACCAGATTTGGTCTCAAAGAGTGCACAAAAGTCAACTCTATATTTTTTTTAATTTCTCTAATGAGTCCTGGAAAAGCCTTGGACCCCGTTCCCCTGCAATTCCAAAAGATACAGTTCATGGTACTGAAGGTATAGGGGAGTTCATGCTTATAGACCCCTTGTTGCTCTCATGAGAAGTAGTCATATCACCGTTCAGGTTATCTGGCTTTTCAGAGACGTGTGCGCGCGTAGCCATGATCATCTCCCTGTCGGAGTAACTCCCATTAGGTGAAGTCGAGATGGATGTTAAAACAATATCCATAGGATTTGAGGTTTCCTGAGTAGTCATCGTGTTATTTGATCTCCCTTCCAGTTCCTTGGTTTTATCAAACTCAGACCCGTTCTCATTAACATTCAAGAGTGCCGCAAAAGGGTTTTGAGCTTGCCAAAAGTTTGATATCACGTTCGAGGGAGGAGACGCAATGGGATTGTTGGTTTGCAATTTAGGTTGACTTTTCCTTTTATCCGCCTTGATGTTTTTGTTTTTAGAATTATTGAATTGATCCACCGGGACCCACTTCATATTGGTTGAGAATTCCTTCCCAAAATTTTTTGGGTTTCCATTACTTGCATGCGAGGATCTCTCACCTTCTTTCCTATTCTGCGACTCCATATTTTTTGCTCCCTGAATGACGCGATCCTGAACCTGATTGATAGCTTTCTTCATGATTTTCTCTTGGTTATTAATACCAGATCCTCCTTTTGCATTGTTTCCTAATTTTTTACCTTTTGACCGTTGCACCAGGTTCCAGACCCCAAGGCCCTCCGTCGACGGTGCTGCGTGCTTGCCGGAAAAGTCTTCTGCTTCCTTATCCTCATTTGGGCGCTTCGGTATTCCGCTTTCCGACACGTTGTGGCAAGGTGCCTGATGAGCAGGTGGGTCATTTGGTTCCGAGTTCAAGTCCACATTGACTTTAGCAATGTTTCTTGATCCATCGACGTTGGCTTGTTTGGGGGCAACGGTTTCTTTGGATATTGGAATTTGAGTATTATCTAGACAGTTATCTCTATGGTGACCGTACTTACCGCAGTGAAAGCATATTAGGTGTAATCCTTCATACTCTAGGATCCGTCTCTTCCCAAACACGTTGATGGCTGATTTTAGTTTTTTCCTGAGATCCAACTCAACGCAGATTCTAGCAAAACGTCCTCTCTCACTAGCATAAGTGATCTTGTCAACCTTCAGAGTCCTACCGATCAGTCTTCCAATTAACCTCAGGCTTTCATTGTTGAAAAACTCAAGGGGGAGCAGGGGTATCCGCATCCAAACTGCAATTTTTTTCTGAAGTTCAGCTTCCCAGGGATCAAAGTTGGGTCTCCAGCGTTGCACAATGAGATAGTGATCTGCTATCATCCAAGGACCCTCTTGATGGATCTGGTTCATATCATCTTCATCTTCAAATGAAACAACGAAAAAGTCATTATCTAGGTCCCTTGTGGTGTATGCATGTTTTGTCTTCCACAGGCGCGCGAGGTTCTGTTTCATTAGCCACAATGGAATAGATTTGCCGAGGAGTTTGACAATGAGCGACTTCCTCCATGGAGCGCACCAACGTTCATATTCCTCTTGAGGCACTCTAAGGGTCGGGCAGTCCTCATCTTCCATCTGATCCTGGTCTTGTTCGGCCACCCCATTGATGAAGTAGCCTTTCAAACTTTCGAGGTATTCATTCCAGGCATCATCAAATACCCGGCTTCCCTTCTTGTCACTTGAAACAGCATGTTGCATTCCAAGCAATTTATCCCTAAATGATTCAGCTTCTTCCTTCGCAGATTCTTCGCTATTGTCACCTTCTTGTTCCCCGCTCACGTTCTTGTATTTTTTCTTTCGCCGTTTGGTTGGGTCACCATCCTCTTGGATGCCACCGCCACCACCAGTTTTGGAGAGAGTTTCAGTCTCCATTAGCGTTTTAGTATCAGATCATTTGTTCCCATAATGTCAAATCACATTAATCATAATTATTGAATAATATGACTGGAATTTTCTTTACGTATTTGTATACATTGGTATCAATTGAACATTAATCTGGGCCTCCAAAAAGCTTTCAGAGTCATAAAACCCAGACCCACACCCAATCACCCCCAGTCCCTTGGCTGTAGACGTCACCGCCGACAAGCCCACGACATTGGAATTTCTAATACTGGATATAATATACTCTTCCGGTCATAAATATAAGACCTTTATATATAAGGGTCTTATATTTATGACCGGAGGAGTAGGAACTTTCTGGTCAAACAAACCGGTTGTTCTCGCTTATAATTTGAGGAATCTATTTAAATTTTTTTCATAGGAGAGGTGTTGATATTTAATACTCATTCTGTCCTTAATATAAGACCCATTTATCTAATTTGATTAGATTAAAAAAATTAGGTAAGTTAATTAATTATAAGAAATGTGATGTGTTTTTCCTAAAACACCATAATAATCTTTCTTAATACCCCATCTCCCTCTTCTATTTAATTATGATTGAAGAAGTATCCATAAAGGTAATTTAGAAAAAATGATAAATATGAGAAATAGATCTTATATTTAGGATCAAAACCAACTCAATAATTAGGTCCTATATTAAAGACCGGAGGAGTACCCTACAATACATCAAATAGAATTATCTTTAATAGAAAAATATGTATACTTAACAAAAAAAAAAGTTTCTGATCATATATGATTTTTTTTAAAAAAAAATATTGGCGTCAAATCAAAGATACTCTTTTTTGTTGGCTAAAAAATGATTTTTTTTCTCTTAACTTTATCATGGCTAAATTAGGGACTTTAACCTGCAACTATATATATACATATATGTATAGTACTACCTCCAGTCTTAATTATAAAATTTTATTTGTAGACTATAAACAAAATTTTATAATTAAAATCAGAGACCAACAAATTCAACTGATGCTTGGTTTGCCCGGAGAACAAGGCTAAAATTAGCTAAAAAGAGAGTTGGGGCAGAATCAGTGGAAAATTGACCATGAACCATTTTTTTTATTTTTTAAAAAATTTCAGTAACTCAAAACTATGTTATTTTGTATTTTTACTTGAGTTATTTTTTCAGTCTTACATATATATTTGATGATTCACGAAAACTTGTGTTGGATTGTTAGGCAATTTATATAGCATATTTAATGATATCTGTGGTTTATAATGGATAATAAATAGTTTTATCATAATGTTAATTAGCAGTATGATTGAATATAAGTTTGACATGTACAATGGGAAATTAAGAATATAAATAAATACTACGTCCGATCCTTAATATAAGATCTTGTTTGACTTTTATTTTAGTTATAAATATAAGACCCCAGTTCACTTTGTCTCTCATATTTATACATTTTTTTCCAAAGTAACCCTTCTAATAATGATAGTTCTAGTCAATATATTTGATTAGTAAAAGATATTTTAGAAAAGACAACATCTATTTAGGACAAATAACTAATTCAATTTACTTTCTTAATCTCTTTAAATTAATTAACCGGTTTTTATAATTAGGATTGGAGGTAGTATTATTTAAAATATTTTTAGCGGTTCAATGCCGGGTTGGGTTTTAACTGGAACGCTCGCGGGTTTCGAAGCCAGTTTCGCAGACTTGCAGCGTCAACTGCTCCTGGAGGCTCCTAACTTCAGCGACGCTTGTAGCTCTCAGTTGCTCCGTACGTGTCCTAGCCGCAGCCCACAGGGGCAGAGATGGCGTCCAAATCTCCAAAGAAAGCCAATCTCTTAGATCTCCATTCCATCAAGAACCTCCTCGACGAGTCTGCCTCTGAGGTCCAACTTAACCCTAACATACTCTATCCGTTTCAGATCTCATTCATGTCAATGACTTTGTTATGTTTACTCTTCGGATTCTTCTTTGAGTTCAGTAATCGGATTTTGCTTTCTTCATTTTCTCTTTCTTTAGATTGTTAAGAGTCGTGGCTATGTGGAAGACGTGAGATTGAGCAACATTAGGCTCTTCCTTGGAACGATCATAATCATCATTGCTCTGTTCGCCCAGTTTTACAAGAAGAAATTTCCTGAGAACCGGGATTTTCTCATTGCTTGCATCGTGTTATATCCTGTTCCTGGCTTAATTTTAATTTATACATCTGTTTATTTGTTTTCATCTCTCTGTCATCTAGGTGATAGACACCCTGAGGAGGAGAATAATAATAATCCTGCGTATGTTGTTTGGGACGAAGGATATTTGAAAAGGGGAAGACTAATGGATAACCTTTTGTTTTAAGAGGGGGAAGGTCCTTTTCCGGGCTTTTAATTTTGTTCTTCTTGTTGTTGTTTTTTTTTTTTTTTTGGGGGGGGGGGATTACCTATGAGAAATATGAAATCGAGTTCTTGAAATTTGAAACATTACGGGATGCATAAACACGTGAGAATTTAAGATACATGCATCAATTGGCATTTTATTGATGTTTCTTTAGCTGTGTGAGAGTTTTATCCTTGACTCTGGCAAGTATGTAGTCTTCAATGCGTTGTTGCAGCTGATCATATACACTAAGGAGAAGAATGCAATTCTGTTTACTTATCCTCCTGCCGTAAGTTTCTCACAACTCAGAAAAAGCACTGGCTTCGAAGCTATAAATTCATTTTATATATGGAGACTGAAGAATAATTAAGATGCTATGTGTTTGTTTGCCATTTTTCTGGATGAAACTGCCTTCTGTAACTTGTTATAATTTAGATATCCCATCTACTTCCCTGCTGGTTAGATGCATATGTATGGGTACCTCCCCCTTAGGTGTTGGGTCTGAGAATTCTATTTTGTAGTATCTATGCTAGAAATATGTATAATTTTTTATCCCGCATTCCTTTACTTAATGTTGATGCTGTGTCCCTCCCCTTAGGTTCATATATATGGGTAAATCCCCTTTGGTGTGGACTGCCAGCATACATGGTGATGTTGATATAGCCCTTCATTTCAATTGAAAAGTTCTAAATTTGATGAATACTTGAATCAGAAAAGAAATATAATCTGTTGTACCATCCCTTTTTTATGCATGACTTTTGTTTTTTTGGGCCAACTTTGTTTATAAATGATTATTTAGTTTCATCCTTCCATCATTCTCGGATTCATTTTCTAGTAAATAGAAAGAGTTATGATTATATTTGTGCGCATAGAGAGCAATGCCTTTGTTGGGTTGGATCAATGTGTATCATGTTTTCTTCTTGCTATTCACAGTGATCCGCAGAAGTGATGTCCGAGCCAGTGAGCTTTTCTGGGCATTAGGATCCATTTGCGTGGTATGGTACTTGAATCCCGCATTAGAAGTATGGGATTCAGGTCAAATGTGGGATTTATATGGACCTTTAGCTCCCCAACCTCCTAGGTTTACTTTTGCGGTATGGTTCCCCTAAATGCTACGATTGTTGCAATCATACAGCATGATTGCAGGGCTTGAGAGAATATTAGCACCCAGCTGGAAGGTATGGAACCTGAGCCCCATATTGTAAGTTTGGGGTTCTAATATGGACTTATGTGGACCTTGGGCTCTTAACCTCACGAGCTGGCCTCTGGGTCATAATTCTTCCAAAGGTTCCTTTTATTAGGATTTGCTGTAGTATGAAAATTAAGATTTATAGGGTGGACATGAATGTTTTAACTTGATTTTCATAAAAGATGCAATGCATGCTCCTGCCAAGTAAAGTGTTTACATCGAGGATCAAGCTGAAAAATCTGTAGTTGATTATTCTATGAACAAGTTATCATAGAGAACTAGTTATATATACTACTAGGTGTTCATTTCTTTTTCACAAATAGGTTATCATAAATAACTAATTATCATAAAGAACTAGTTATTAACAAATAGGTGTTCATTTGTTTTTAACTTATGTCTTGATGGAATTGGATTATTGTATATGCTTCTGATGGATGCAATTGGCCATCATCATATCATGTTTAAGCAGAACAGTGACTTAGTTTGTAATCATTCCAAATTTTTAATAATTTTACCTTAAATCTTTGGTTTTATGAGAATCCAGATTTCTTTTTGCAAGTCTCCAGTTCTTTAATCTTAAATGACATCAGTGTGGCATCTATCTCCACCTTCCGAGCATTAGAATTAGTCTTGATCCTATAATTCCTTTATTCATAAATCTAGCCATGATGCATACAATTAATATTTTCATGTTTTATGAATTATGGATAATAAATTTCGTTTAAGGTATCTGCATCCACAATCGGAGTAGAATTACGAATAAATGTGGTCCAGCAGTTCCGTGTAAATAACTTTTGCACTCAAAATAGAATAGCAGATGGAAAATAGAATTTGAAATAAAGAAGTTCATTTCTAAGTTTTAACGTCTGATTTGGAAGAATGTTGTGAATTCTGAATAGAAACATAGACAATTTTCTTGCTGGAAGTATGTGCTCAATGAGAAATGACTTGAAAGTTGCCCGGCAGATTGTAGGGTTTTCTATGTTCAAAGGTGTACTGTTGGTGTGATGTCATTCTGTTTTTGGCTGCTGTGTGACTTGATTGATGTAGATGTTTGTCTCGTTACGGGAGTTGGGTTTTTAGGGGGTTATATTGTTACTTGTGAAACAATCTAAGTTTGTCTTTAAATTTAGTTGCCAAGCTTGCTGATGATTCAGACGTTATGCGTCCTGCTGAAGCCTGAGACACTCTCACCTTGTGTTGAAATTTTATTAGATATTCTAACTTACATGTAATTTATTTGGGCAGGGATCCTACGTTGGTACTGGTTTGATAGTCTCCTCCAAACTGCCTCGATTTTCTGACATGTACACACTAACCATTGCAAGTGCGGATCCAAAATCAATTTCTGCGAATGACCCGGTGCATTTAACCAAAAGTGTTACTCAGTGGTATCCCCTTCTACCTTTCCTCTTTGCCTACGACCATGCAGAATAATGTTATTCTTATTCTTCTTTCACACGTCTTTCCGTCACACCCCTGCTCCTCTCTAAAATGTTCTCATTATCCATCATTCGTCAATATCATTCATCCTCTTTTGTTTCTTTTGAGTTAGGTTCACTAAGGATGGGATTTTGGTGGAGGGCCTGTTCTGGAAAGACGTTGAGGCATTGATAGATCAATATACTAAAGAACCAAAGAAGAGCAAGTGATGTGGAGAGGGCAATGATTTTGGCAGTGCACATTTTGTGGGATTAATATTATATCTGGACGAGTTTACAAACGTTGAAGTTTATAACTGTAGATTTCTTAGATTTTATAATGGAATTATGGGAATAAAACCCTCGTTAGAACGATGAATCTCGATATGGTTTGCCTTATGCTCATGTTTGGTAGCAGCGACTGCAAAGCTTTTTAAGGGAAAAGTGGAATATTTTTTTTTTTCGTGGGTGGCGGAGTTAAAAGAGGTCCAGGTCATAGTTCATATGGCCGGAGAAGGAAAAGGAGGGGGGGGGGGGAAATGAATAATTAGTTAGTGTGATCCGTTAGGTGCGAATAAAAATACAAGGGAATGAGCCCCTCGAACTCTTGGCGTGATGATGGGATAGTTATGGTGTCTCCAATCAAGACACGGGTTTGACACGGCGAAGATGAATAAGAAAAATACTATTTATTTTTGAATATATGTTAAATAACTAATTTGAAAAGATTAAATAAATTAGTTAAGTTAGTTAATTGTAATAAATGTGTTTATTTTTTTAAATTATTTTTTGGTTGTGTATTGAAATTATTTTTCATGCTATTGAATTATTTTTATTTTTTGTTATGTATAGATATTCTTTTATTATATATAATTTTATTTGAGATACTGATGAGTATAAAGTGTAAATACATCTCCTACTAAAAATTTAAACCTTAGTTTATGAGTGACTAGCCTTGGACCTAACTTCGTTAGTATATTACTCCTCCAGTTCTTAATATAAAACTTAAAACTAATTTGATTAGATTAAGAAAGTTAAGTAAATTAATTAATTATAAAAAATATAATATGTTTTTTTTAAAACATCATAATTATCTTCTTTAATATTCTCCTTTTTTATTATACTTGATTATGGTTGAGAGAGTATCCATAGAGGTAATTTAGAAAAAACTGATAAAAATAAGAAATAAATCTTATGTTTAGGATTAAAATTAACTCAATAATTAGGTTTTATATTAAGGATCGGAATAGTATGTTATTGTTGTACCTTTTGGAGGGAAACAAATAGAGAGCTAGAGGAAGCTTTGATTGATTAGGGTTGGCTAGTTAATCATGGGTCTTATGAGGACATTTTGTCAGCAAAAATAGAAAAAATTCCCCCTTTGCCGAGAGTGCTCTTTCTAGTGAAGAGTATCTATATACATGAAAAAAAATATTAAATTTTTTTAGTTTAATATAATTTCCTGAATATATTGTAATTAATTAAATAACTCTGATATGAAAAATAAAAAAATATAAAAAATGAAATTGAAAAGAAGGTGCTTCACTTCCTATTATCAAATAGTAGTTTTATCTAGTACACATAATTAGTAAGGGTATTTTAGGAAAGATAACATTTATTTATTATAAATAACTAATTTAATAAATTTTCTCAATATACATAAATTAATTAACTAACTCTTATATTAAGGACTGAAAATAGTAGTTATGCATTAATATTTGAAATTTGTATGATCGATAGGTCGAATAAATTTAATAAATGCCAGCGTCGAAATAGTTAAGAGTGAGAAAGAAGAGGTCACGTCCATCTGGCCATAGAAAAACAACACGAGGTTATGTGCGCGAGAACGAATGCTGATTGAGGATGGGTCAATGCGCTCTCAAGTCGCGCTACTTGGAGCGAAAGCAGGGACTGGCCGGCGCCTAATCATTCCAAGTTGGAATCCATTCCACTCCCTAATGAGTCTTGTGCCTATTCCAAATGGGTCCCTTTCCCCTCCTCAAATGGGCCCTCCACCTTTATTCTCTTTCCCAACAAAATATCTCGGCTTTCATTATCATGTGCATAAATCATAAATATTGCTGCTCATTTGAAGCTACCCAAAACATGGGTAATTTTAAAACAAACGCTTGAGAAAATAACATTAGATTTAAAATTAAAATTTAATATTCATGAAAATTTCAGTTATATCTGACTCTCTTTGAATTTATTTTGCTGATGAAATTTAATTCCCACACAGCATAAGGTTACATATATAAAAGATTAATTATTACTCATCCGATTCTTAATATAGGACCCAATTGTTGAGTTGGTTTGGTTCTAAATATAAGACCCATTTTTTCATATTTATCAATTTTCTCTAAATTACTTCTATAAATACTCCCTCAACTATAATCAAGTAGAAAAGGAAGATGGAGTATTAAGAAAGATGATTATGGTATTTTAGAAAAAATGTATTATATTTCTTATAATTAACTAATAACTAACTTACCTAACTTCCTTAATCTAATCAAATTAGTTAAATAAGTCTTATATTAAGGATTGGAGGAGTATGGCATGAAATAAATTATGTGTAAGATAACTTAGATAAGATTCTTCCTATGTGTCAAAATATTTAATCCAGTTTTTTTAAAAATAAAAATTAAAACTTGATGGTATAAAATATGTGAACTCCAATTTCAAATCTCAAGAATTATTAATTTTTAATGTAATCCTTACGCAAACTAGAATGGACTTTTTTTAATTTTTTGCCCCAAAGTAGAATGGATTTGTACCGCATGTAGGGAGGCCCCACGGAGGGGATATGTGGGTCAAAAAGCTGGCCCCACATGTCTCTGATTCGCAGGTTTTATTTTTAAATATTAACCTGTCCTTTTCATGGGACACCCTCCTTCTTTCTCCCACTCATCTGCCCAAGGAGGGCCACCACGCCACAATTATCAAGTCAAGCTCGTGTGAACCAGAAAATATTTTTGAGAGTCTCAAATTAAATCTGATATGAATATGTCATATAAAAATGGTTTAAAAAGGAAAAAATAATTTTTTTTAAATAATTCATTTTATATTACGAAATTATAATTATAATCGTACTATTTTAAACTGATAATACTGTTTATTTTAAATATCTTTAATATAAAAACTCATTTAACTTTTTTTATCCTAAATATAAGACCCTAATATACTTTGTGTCTCATATTTATCTATTTTATCTAAGATAGTCCTTAGAATAATAATAGTTCTAGCCAATACACTTGATTAGTACGGATATTTTAGGAAAGACAACACTTATTTATTATAAATAACTAACTAAACTAATTTTTTTAATCTACTCAAATTAATCAATTAGTTTTTATAGTAATAAGTGGAGTTAATATATCAATTCGTTAATTATATATATTTTTTAGCCAACATGAATTTATAAATTATTTACATTTCTTATTATTTTTTAAATATGAAGATACGAAGATTTCATTCATGTTCATACCTTACCTTGCTTTTAGCCTTTAATCACACTTGGAAATTCTTTAATTGTAGTTCACCGGCCTATGTCGTCATCAATCACCACTGGCATTGGATGGGCACACGGTAGCCCTAAGCCTATTCCTTACGCTGTCGTTTTCAGGCGCCCAATTATGCTTAGTTTGCCTGGGTATTATATAAGCCACCCCCAGACTTATTATCGCCTTTCGTTCTGCAGCCAGGTATCATTCTTTTCTATCTTCCCAACCCCCCCTTTGGTTTCTCTCAATTTCTCGGCTCTCGCCGTACATAGATATTTCGGCTTCGGTATTCGAGGCTTTTGATTCCGATCTCGTGACCAACCCTAGCTACGGCTCTCGATTCCTGCTTCGATCTTCAGATAATCTGAAATTAAATGTCTACCGGGAGACGAGCAGATTTGTTTGACGCCGACAAGGCCAGTGGATCTGATCCCTCCGACCGACCTGCGATTGCTGAGGATTTTGATGATTCGTCGTCTGTGGATGGCGTCTCTTTGAACGGCGTTGAATCCGGTTCGAGTGCTAGGCTTCCGGGAGAAAGTGGTGGATCGAGGAGGGAGACTCTGCTCACGCAGCGGTTGACGGATATACTCGTAGATCAGGGCGATGGGGATCTTTTGCTTCAGCGGAGCAACCAGGATGATCATCTGATGCAGTGGTTTCAGGCTCTTAATATGCAGATTATGGGGGCATGTCGCGCTGACGAGAGGCTTAAACCCTTGTTGAAGATGAACGTCTCCGGTGGCGTCGCCGAGGATCCCCTGCTAACCCAATTAAGTCAGGTAAGAGTTGGATTTCTATATTTCGGTGTTTTCATCTGAAAGATATTCCGAGTCTTCGCGGCCTCAGCGATGAGGCACCTGTAAATTTCATTGTTAGCCTGAATTTTGGGAACTGCACAAATGATTTGTTCGTACTCCTTTTTGGTTCGATCTTGCATCGAACCAACAACTTATTCGTTTTCTTCTCAACTTCTGTCAGATGTGTTTTGTGAATGGCCAACGGCCCTTTAATTCCTTTTAATCGTGCAGCATTTCGAGCCAGCAGAGGTTGGGATGCTTGCCAGATGCTTCTGTGTACCTCTTGTTTCGATCCGAGTTGGAACAATTCACAAGGAAGGGTCACGTTTGTGTCCTACCGCCAATAGGTAATCTCATTTAAGCTTTTGTGAAAATCTACTTCTTATTTGTTCCCCTGTATCTTCGTCAAGGGGAAAATCGTCTTATGGATATTATTGTAGATATTCTAGCGTCTGGTTTACACAAATCATTTGTACTGTGCATTTTTTAGGATGGAGTTACAGGTCTTGAGTGCATTTTGTGACCTGAAGCATTTATTGATGATCTAAGTTCACCGTTCAGTCACTATGATTTATTATTTTGATAGTTATACATTCATTGTTGTATGAACGTATTCAAAATTTGACTTACTGCCATATTTCCACTTTATTGCTACATCTACCGGCGGTTTGTTCTGTACATCAAACCATGCAGGCTGTTAGGTTTATGATTATTCGCGGTGTTATAGTAATTTTCTGATGTTTTGCAGTAGCTCACCGATATAAATATACCTGTAAGTTAGTGTCTGTGTGTATGATGTTGTGTGTACTAAAGTATGATTTGAAAGCGTTGACCTCTTTAGCCGCAACAGGCTTGCTCTTTCTGTGCTTCTGCATTCCTTGTTGACAATTGAAGCATCCATTTGTTTCCTGTGCATCTCTGTGCAAATCTTCTGTCAAATTATGCAAGTTGTGCGTTGGGTCTCTCTGGTTTGTTTTCTTTTGTGGAGATGTCCTATTTTCTGTCTTATTTCCAATCTTTTTTACAGTAGGGCTGTGACACCCCTACTTGCTCCATTTATAATATTCAGTGGTTGCTGTAAATATATAAAATTGCTCCTTTATTGTTAAAACCAATTTGTTTGCCAAGCCTGACAGTTTCTGCCTTCAAGAGTTCTCATTGGTTTCTTTAAAAGTTAGTCAAGTGAGAGCCAGTGGTGTGGCAGCCTCTAACGCTTCCGAGTTTACAGTTTCTTCAATTTTTTCTTTTTTAAAATTAATACTTTTTATGTTTCACGTGTGACATTTATTCCTTGGACATCATGTATTCCATTCACACTGTCTATTTGGAGCTGTTACATATTGTCTGTCTTAGCTGGCTTTTCTGCAATTACATTGATGAATTTTCCTGCTTACCTTCACATGTCTGGTCAAGCTCAAAGTAGCAATTATGGACTGCTATACATGGATTAACACATCTCTTATGGCAATTTGCTTCCATTACCTGAGATTGAATTGCTGGCTGTTATTCTGAATTTAATTGTGGTGGTAATCTTAACTGAAAGGTGTAGTTTGTTGGGTGATCAATAGAAATTGTAGGAGTCCATAGTTTAGATTATTAATGGCAATATGTTCATTCTTCCAAGTAAATATGTCTTTTGGCTTGTAGGTAACTGGGCGTATTCTATTATGATCTCTGAATTAAGAAGAAGTAAAGGTAGTTCCATGATCCTATATTATACATATTATTGCATCTTGAGGTTTGATGTTCTCATGTGGAATAAAGTCAACTAACATCTTGTGTTGTGGTCCACCTTTAATTAGCATTATAATTGTTATTTGCATATTGTATACTGTTTTTGTATGTTTGTTGATTTTTGGATGTTTACTTTAGGATGATGGACATGTTATTTTTTTCTTGTTTATCATTAACTTGGCCACTTATGCATCGTGTGCTCACTTGCACAAATTCATGTATGAAACAGATTGTTCTTGCATGCTGTATGTGGCTATAAATTATGTGCCTAATTCCTGTTTAAGATTCTTGTTGATCATCAATGATTATTATGCAGGTAGGGTAGCCGATCAGAACTGATCAATATTTTGAGCTAGCTGCATAAAACTTTGCTATGAAACTATGTGGATGTTTTGCTAACCCTATTACTAATTTGTATCACTTGTTATTTGTAAGGCTTAAAAGTGTGCACGGTATAATTTTGTTGTGAGAACTAAACGAAGAAGATTGTATTTACAATATATATACTTCCTTAGTATGAAGCACGTATGTTCATGGTTATGGCCTGCGGCAAGTTGTTTACTGTTGCAGTTTTACTAGTTTTTAAACATCAGAGGCTATATTCAATGTGAAATTAAATGCTAAATCACTTGTTTACAAAATCAAAAGTTTCGTTCAAACTCCTAGAAGCTATGTTCAGATCGTTAGGGTTAATTAGACAAGGCTTTTATGTCATTCGGTTAGTATTTGCTGATTCATTTTTTTTACTTTGATGGTTGAAGTTTGCGACAGAGCATCTCATTTTGATACTTCTTTTTCTACAGGTTCACTAATGTGGTATCATTCTGTCTTGAATTGTTTACAGGGGAAGCTTGAGTCTTATACTGCTGCCAAGTTCTGATCTTCGTCTCTCATTCATTGGAGATGATGGCAATGTAGAAAGGATGTTTACCCTAACCAAAAAATCTCATTGTGCTGCTGTTGTGATCAATGAAATCCCAGAAGACAGTTCTGGTCGTTCCTTCCTTATAAGAGCTCCAGATGGGAGAACCTTTTACTTCTGGTGCTCAGAGAAATCTAAACTGTTAGGAATTGAATTAATTGGAAAGGTAATTTGGGTTGCACTTTTTCAGTCATGCATTAAATTTTTCCTCTTGGCTCTCTTCATCCGTTTTTTTTTTTTTCCGGGTTGTATCCTTTTTTTCTTTGTTTTTTTTTGTTAAGAGATTTGGACAAATATTACCACTCTGTCCTGAAACTTTTCCCCCTCAATCTAGTTGAAGGATTTGCTCAAGACGAAACCATCAGTAGCAGACTTGAGTGGGATTAGCAAATCAAGGCTCGATTGTTTTGCTACTCAGCTTCGTGCTTTTCTTGTGGGATCATCAGTGGGCAGTATTAATGAAAGTGTGGCTTGTACCTCAACGCTGACTGCTAATTCCGTGGTTCACAATGCTTCTTTGTCCGCATCGAAATATGCCAGATCTCGACACAGTGGCAGTCAAGCAGTGAAGGGAAATGCACTTTACCTTGGCAGTCTTAGTCCAAAATCAAGTTCATTCAAAGAGGGTACCCCTAGAAACTTGTCTTCTTTCAGGATTGCGAGGGAAAAGTTAAAACGTCGCTGTGATAACCAACAGATTGCACTTGATGACTTGTCAAATGATTCGTTGAATACCTCTGATACAACTTCGAGTCATATTGATCATGATAAACTTCCAGAAGTTAACAAAACATTTCCTCCTTTAAGTTTTCTTGGATCATTAGGAAATCTTACTGTCCCATCAAACCTTGGTCAGCAAGGAGAAGTCCCCCCTTTGGCTTCGCCACTTTTTGCCCCGCACTATTGCTGGTGTCCCCCTGGGGTTTCAACTCGCCCATCCCCAGCGGCACCTTCGAAATTTCCTGGCTCATCCATTGAATCACATCCTTCTCCCGTGGATGCCTCCTTGTTCCCTAACGCCATCCCAGGTAGCCTATTGGCACCAACACCGCCACTTAATCTAAGCTCGCCTATGCAGTTCCCCCAATTCCTACCTGATCCGTTGATTAGAATGCCCCTTCCAGCTTCCCAGCAGATTCCCACCTTCACACCTCTAATATGTGATCCAATCGTTCACGTCCCAGTAATTGATGTGTGCTCTTCAGGAGGTCAGGGCTATCTTGTAAGCGCTGGCCCTGCCATATCAACTGCCATTCCTCCGTTGCACCCAAATCTTGTGAAGCCGCTGATTTCTGAATCTGATTCTGTGGTAAAGGGTGCGAGAGAGACGCTACGTCTGCTGATGGGCGGTTCAAGTCAGCCTAACAAACCGGTTATGGATACTTTGCCTGCAGTTTTGACAAATGCGGATGAAAAACCAAGCATAATTGTGACCGGCAGCCGCGGTCTCTATGCCGGATCCCGAGACGTTGATGTTATTGCCAACAGCATTGCAGCCATGGGTTTAGCTTCACTCTCTGGGGCATCCAGGTCAGACAGCGATTCCGATGATTGTGGCCCCTGTGGAATTTCAGAAGAACAAATGGGAGATCACAGTGATGCGACTGGTAGCTAGCGCCTTCTCCGATGTAGTAACGCATTCTCTTTCTTGTAGTGTTGTAGGTTTTCTTCTGTTCCGGTGACATGTAGATATGTTTCTACTCCTTCCCTTTTGAAATGTAACCAACTAGTGCAAGTATTAGTACTCTTGCCTTTTTATATCCCTTGGAGAAATATTTCATTACTTTGGTCTATATGTAGTTCAGAGCTAATATTCGAATGTTGATTTGTGAAACAACACTTTGTCCCTCAACTATTATTCATTGCTTCAGACCACATGTTTAAATATCACCAACCAAATAATGTTGAAGGTTTTTTTTTAGGCGTTTTTATTAGGAAGAAAAAGTAAGGAGGACGAGACCATTGGTCAAATTAATAAGCCGTATGAAGATCTATTTTGTATGTTTAGACCGGAGTTTTATAATCTGAATGAATCAGTCAGTCAACTGGATGAGCAGGCGGCGGATCAATGTCGTTCAAAATTATAGTTAACCTATACCCATAAAAAGAGCAAAAATATGCATAAAAATATTTTAATAAAAAGCAATAACCCATATAAATAAATATTCATGCATAAATTACATATCATTTTAACAAAACATACAAGAAGATGAATATTTGAAATCCTGATCTCGAGTTAATAATGAAATCTATTTAATGCGCAGAATATGTAAAATATTGAAATTCCTATTATATACGTATATTTATTTAATGGACGTATGAGTAATTTTATAATGTAGTGTGTGTGTGTATATAACAATATATTTGCTTTCAAAAATAAATAATTTTTGCTTACCACTCGTCAGATTTTGCTCCAATCGTACATGCCCAGCTGCTTGAACCCATTAAGTTGGGTTTATGGCAATGCTTCCTCCTTCTTCTTTTTTCCCAAACCGCGGGGAAAAATTTGAGGGTTTAAGCAAATATCCAACAATTTCTGTATTGAATCACTTAATTTGAAGCTGGTCATTCTTCTCAACGTCTCTCTTCCCCTTCACCTTTTTTTTTTTTTTCTTCTTCTTTTCCTTCTCTTCTCTCTTATGATCTCTATAATCTGTAGCTTAGTTATTCTCCTTCACTTTTTATTTAGTCGTCGTCGTCTTCTCCTTTCTTGGCAAGTATCCATCTTCCATCCCTTTCTCTATTCATCATTTATTAAATCCATTTTTCTGCGGCATTTCCCCCTCTCATTTTCTCTCTGACTTCGGTTTTCATTTTTATCTTCATGATTAACTTTCAAAACAAGAAGTGAAAGTTTTTATAAAAGGGAAATACCAACTCATTACTTGGGTTATAACCAAATTATACCAGTTCAGACAGGTCTCCACTGGATTACATTTTCCTTATTTCGACATTTAATGACACCATACAAGTGGCTGCTTCACCAATTTTCAGTTTGAACAAGCTCGTCCGGTCCAACTGCGATAAGATCAATATCATGTATCATATGTTTAGGGGTATGAATGATATGTGTATATATACGTGTGTGTGGCCAACGATATATATAATATGAATGTTATTATTTAGTTCGGCTAATTGAGATAAAACAAAGGGCTTTAATAAAGGGTTGTTCAGTTAAAGAAATTCTATGGGAATAATGATTGTAATGTTGAATGGAATTAATGAGGCATCATAGGTATCATTGCGCAGTGATATGAACACCAATGATTGTCACACCAAATCTTGCAAACTACTACAGTTACAAGACAACTTCTTCCTCGCTTCGTCTTAATTTTTCTCTTTCAAATTGTTCTATACATGTAAATGAAATATGTTGCCCCTTCTATTTCTTTTTAATTGTTGTTTTGGCAAAAACAAAAATGTATTTATCTATTATACATTAATTACTAATTCTTTTTTTGAAAAAAATATACTCTTACTTTCATTCTTTGTATGTTCAAAGAACCGTTAATTACTAAAATAAATTTTAAATATATTGAGAGTTTTAAAATAAATTTTGATATATTAATTACAATTCGTAATTGGTAATTTAAACAATGAAAACCTTGGATTACATATTAGAAAACGGAGGGGATAGATAACTACTTTGAATTTTTATTTGATGAAAGTGCCTTCTGGATGAAATTGGTGGGGGTGTGGTAACTCACTGTGGTTGATGGAGCCATGGAAAGTTGATGGACTGCCATGATGAAGCATTATGATGTTGGAATGAGATTCCATGGAAATTTAAAAAAATATTCAAATTGGCAAATGAGAAAGCTTGGTTATACTGTGTGTTCAGTGAATTTGTGGAATATGACGACACGCACTTTTACTTCTTTAAGACTTTAAAAATAAAAAATAAAAAACTCAACTAATAATGGGACTATTGAAATCTCATTATTCAACCAAGATAATCAGAATTTGGGACGCAGTGACTTGGAATTCTAAAATTGGATTTTAATGTTGTGTCTTGACTCTTAAGCGTTCAAGTTGAGATGGACTCCCCAGGCGGCACACCCAGAAAAGAAATTACTAGCCTGACTTATGATATAATCTTATAATTAAGTCATTTATTTATCTTTCTTGATTTTTCCAAATAAATCAAGTATTGTATTAAGAATGGAAGGTAATAATAAAACACTACCTCTAATTCTCAATATAAGAGCTGATATTATTTAAATTAATTATTTGTTACAAATATATATTGGTATTTCTAAAATATCCTCTTCAATTATGTGCAATAAATGGTTAAAATTATCCCCTAGTGAGAACCCCTTATAATTAATAGTAATGTTTTGAAAAAAGATATGAAACAAACTAGATTATGAGGTACTGTATTTAGCATCAAATTCAATCTTTCACCTATTCTTGTATTAAGGACTAGGAAATAGTATATTTGACAGACACCCAAAGATCTAGAAGCCAAGTGCTTTTGCAAAATTACACAAATAAAGGTTATTTATGCATACATACCAAGTCATTTATAAGCTTGCATTAAGTACATGATTATACCACTAAATTTGTCATTAAAAGTTTTATCTCCCAACCTAGGCTTCATTAATCAGAAAAATTCCCCTCCATCATAGTATTATCAAAATTTATTCGTATAGTTAAGAAACCCAATAAGGTAATAGGAACAATTATCCATCCTATCCTAAATATAAGAGTTAAATGAGTTGTTGGACTTTGTTATGAACATAAAATCTTAGTTTACTTTGTTTTCATATTTATTATTTTTTCTAAACTAATTTAATTAACTGATAAATTACTACATGATTTGATACTATATAAAGGATATTTTAGGATGATCAATTCACATGTGTTATAATTAACTAGTTTATCTGACTTTCTTAATTTATCTAAATTAATTAGGTAATTCTTATGTGGAGGATCAAAGGCAACCGTAATTTTCATTTGAAATTAATTTAATTTAAAAACAAAGAATGAAATGGGACATAAATAGTGACCAGAGTTCAAATTTTTTTCTTATATGTATATAAAACAGTATAGTGTGTTGATGTATTCTGCTGTTTAATGATATAATAATTGATCAAGGTGATAATAATAAGCTTCTAAAAAACACAGAAAAAGAATAAGGGTAAATACTGTTTGTGGTGGAGGCTTGGTGAATGGTGAGCCTTGGTGAATGGCAGTGTAGGTCAAGGTTGATAATGATTTGAGATGAAAGTGCAGGAGAATGAGACTGGCTCTCCCAACAAACAAAATTTGTGTCAGACAAAACCACTAAATTATTTATTAATTTGCATTCATTTTTGTCAGGAATATTTTGCATGAATTTCTTCTGTAACTTCCCAGTGTTCGCTGACTACAAATGTATTCTTTGCCCATGGAATCTTTTTCCGCTTAGCAGTTCAAATACAAAATAGTAGTAGTAGTAGTAATAATAATAATAATATAACAGACCATTGTCAATCTGGAGCTTCTGCCACCAGCCTTTTTAGGATCCCAAAGTACAGCTGCACATGCTATTTATTTCTCCATTAGTTCTTGTTCTTCATGTATTCTTTCCAGCTTGCAAAACCATCCTAGAATCTAGTTGAAGAATCCAACTCCTTCCACTTTAGATATTTTGATTATAAGATGTGTGGATAAAATCAATTCTATAAACTTAATTAATGTTTGTAAAAAAAATTAGATGAGATAAGCTAAAATAGAATTAGGAATTTGAGTTAGATGTTCAAAACAAACCAAGTCGAATTTATTTAGGCTACCTTAAATAAGTCCAAATAGGATAAATAACCTTGATAAATAGGGTTTGATTCTAAATATTAGGCTAACGATCCAACTTGAATAGGCCTTAAAAATATTGAGGACAAAAAATATGAAAAAAAAAATTCTAACATCCAAATTAAGTCTAAAAAAAAATACAGGCATTGGTTTAAGAGAAAATTCCAAAAACAAAAAATACTCCTCGAATTTTAAAATTTTAAATGAGAAATTTCTATAAAAATGTGTTATCATTTGCTTTTTAAGTATAGTTAATTACTATTAAAGTGTAAGAAGTAAAATTGATTTAGGATTTTAAAATTGAAATAATGTCTTTTTGAGATTTTTTTTCCCCTTGGTTTAAACACCATGAATAATTTTGTTGAAAAAAGAGGAAACTGGAAGAAAAGTGATAATATTATTTATTTACTTTGTCTGGCATGATATGGTAGTTAAAAAGTTACTATAGAATAATAAATTTATGCCATGTAAGATTTTTTTTTCTGTTGAGTAAATTAGCAAAGGTCAGAAAAGGAAGTTTATGAGTATATTTGGGAAGTTAAAAGGTGGAAGGAGAAAGGTTATAAAGTTCAGCGAATAAAGTGAATAATTTACTGTAATTTGAAGGCAACATGAGTCTTTCATGTAATGCCATTGATTTTCTGCAACTCCCCCACCCAGCCAATTCTCATCTCTGTTTTCCAATTTAAATTCAGCTCTTGGAATCAGATTCTGTCTCTGGATACGGATCTATCAGATATGAATCTTCCATCTGAAATCGATTCAATTTGAAAGTAAAAACACAACGAACTATATGTGATAAAGACATAGAAATACATCTAATAAAAAGCAAATATAAATCATTCAGATGTTGATCTGTTAGTCATAAATAGGGAAGAGGAAGGGAGAAGATGGGAAAGCGAAGAAGAGACAATCTCCTCCCTTCTCTGCAGAGTATTCCAACTTGAAAAAGATGTGCTAAATATAAGACTCATTTTGTAGTACAGTTTACACTAGAAAATGAGTCTTATATTTAGGACATGAGGAGTATTTGGTATCAATATGTTATAAGATCTTAACTCCTAATTTATTACT